CGACTTGGGGGGCGCCGACCTGGGGAAGCCGACTTGGTGAACTCTTTGATAAGATTTTTTCGACGAGCCTCGTCGACCAACATATCTCGATGACCTTCGTCAATCGCTGTCTTTGACCAGCGCTGCCCGTTGACGTGTCGACCAGATTTCGTCGAGTAGAGCCTGCACGACCACAACTTCCGTCGAACATCAAAAGCCCACTTCGTCGACAAATCCGTCGTTAACTTATTGTTGACGACGAGATCGACTGCGCCCAAGCGAGGGCGGGGCCTTTTGCATCGACAGGGATTGTGTCACCAGATGTTCGAGGTTCGTTGACGAGGGTATTACGTGGTCTATCTCGTAATTAGGTAGAATGGCAATTGGTTGGTCGTCTCGGAGGATGCGTTGTTATACATGAGCTCCAGCATCGGGAGCAAATCCTTCCCTTGGCCAGGTCAGGGTAGTTGGCCGGGCCAGCGATGTGAATCTCGGGTCTCGATCGCTGATGATCACCAAAGGTAACCCGTATAAGCGGACGACAATTGAGATGAACAGCTTTGCTGTTTACAAGTCCTGTAGCAAGAGGCGCCGACTAATGGTCGAAATGGGGATGAGGAGAGCAGGTGGGGGGTCAGTGCTGACGAACCCACTTATGAACTTCCTTTTACGAATAGGGAGGCGAGAGAGGGATGAGGAGAGGAGAGAAAGTCCCCACCCCCGCTCAATCACCCCCTTTAACCTCACCCCCTTTCGTAGCCGCCCCCTGGAACCTCAACCCCTCCCCCCCACCCTTCATACAAAACCTTCCCCAACCACAGGTGTCCCTGCAGAGTCCCTCCTGCCACCCCCTCGGCCTTCCCCCTTTAACGTCAAGCGCGATAGAGAAGCGGGAGGTGGTTACGTGTGCGGGGCCTGATCGGGGGGCGTACTAGCCGTGTACGGGGCCGGAGCGGGTCAGATGTGGTGCAAGGTGCGGGTCTCGGGATATGTACGGGGTGCGGACAGGGCAGCGCGGATGATGATACTGGCGGCAGGCGTTATCGTTGGCATTGGTGCCTTTGTGATGGCCGCCACCTCTTTCCCCCTCTCCTCTCCCTCCCTCCCTCCCTCCCTCTATCCCCTCCCTACCCTCGCCCCCCCACCCCCCCCCCCCCCCCCCCCCAACTGCGGCCGTCACTGTTTCCATGCCCGAGAGCCGCGACGAGGCAGTGTGCCGGGGAAGGGCGACACGAGAAGGCAACGAATTGTCGAGGGGCCAACGGGGGCGAGAGCGACGGCGCGGGAAGGCGGCGAATTGTCGAGGCTCGCCATTGCGACCGCCGTGGCCGTCTCGACCGTTGCAACACTTGTGATGGTTGCACTGACGGGCGTGCGATGGGCAGAGAGAATCACGACGGCTTCTAAGGGTGGGCCCATTAAATATATAATAATATATATATACATATACATATATAGATACATATGTATATATTGTTATGTGATGCTCTCACTTGCATTCACGTCTGTCTGCCTCCCATCACATGTTCGTGCGTTGCATGCGTGGTGTGAGCGTGTGCAAGAATTTGTGTTTGATGTGGTTTGGTTTTTCTGAGTGTGTGTGAATGTTATTTGGCTTGAGCAGATATCTGAAGTGACTCCTCTGCTCAAGAGCTTTCCGACGAACCAAGTATCGCTTCAATTGGAGCACGAACAAGAAAGTTACGAACGTTGGAAGTTCGTATGCTTTTGATATTTGGTTGTGGTGACTATGGGAAGTTGTGGGGTTGACTCCATAAGGGGTATAGACTTTTGGGGGTTGGTAAATTCGTCAACATCACTGTAGATGCTGCCAAGTGGTTGGGAGGTGCCAAACCAGGTTGGCAAGTGTGGCCAAGTTGGGCAAGGTGGATGGCATGGGTTGGAAAGTGACAAAAGTAAAAGTGGGGTTCCTATAGGGAAGGAATTTGGTGTGCTTATGGGGTTTCCTTGGTTGGGGACTCCTTGGGGACCTTCCCTCTCGTCCTCCTCTTCCCTCCCACCTGGTTAATTGCCACTGGTGAGATAACTTGTGATTGAGTTAAGTTCTATGGCAGCATACCCCCTAGTGCGCCGAATTTGATAACTCGAGAAATACTTCACCTTTGCATACGATTCAACTTGGGAATTGTAGCTACGCTCTAGAGCTACAACATATCTAAAATTGGTGAAGTGTTAACGGTGCGTTTTTGGTCGACAGCGTTTCTTGTGAACTCGACATTTCTGTCCAGGATTCTAAGCCAACGATTTTGTGAAATTTAGACACCTAATCTTCATAGAATCCGTCCTTACTCTCTAACATATATATGTATGGACTCAAGAACGGACCGGCTCGTATAACATGTCAGATTATGAATCCTAGGCCATGACCTTAGGAAGGACATAGCTAGGTTACGAGAGTAGCGTGAGAGCACATGGCGAGAAGGTTTGAGAGTAGGGGAATTACAAGATACAGCAAGCGAGAAGCATAATTAGGTACACCACCAACATGAAAGAGAATAACTACACTACAGGTACAACTACATGCAATTGTACAAAAGTATATACAGATATATTCTTTAACACGCCCCCACCTCCTCGCCTCATCCCTCTTTCATCTCTTCCCCTTAATAAAAGGGAGTTCTTAAGAGGGTACGCTAGGCATTGAGGTGTCATGCTGCTTCCCCCCCCCCCACCTCCTCTCTTCTCCTCTCCTCTCTCTCTCGTGGTCCGTATATTGATATGCTGTGAAGATACAAACATGCAGGGGAGGGAAATTCGGTGGATAACAACAAGCATGCATGGCCTAAAAGCTCTTACCCGCTACCACATCTAGAGCTCCACGAGGGGCTCGATAATAGCAAAGCAGTCCCCCAAATGTAATTTATGTCCTATTGCGCCCACAGGCGGGTTTTCAGCCGCCGCCGCTTCACCCAACATGATCAGCAATCCCACGGATTGGGCCCTTTGCAGAGCAATCAACCACCTTTGCCTGAAGTGATGCAGGAACTTAGAGGCATGATAGGAGTTACAGTCGGCGTTGAAGTGACTTCGAGCCGCTGTGTCTGCTAGAAGTTTCAGAAAAACTGGGACCTTGGCGTATGGGCAGCCGTAGGTCTCAACGGCCAGTGGAAAGAAGCCGAAGGTCTCTGACCTGTTAGCGTAATGCTTGATCTTTTTGTCGGCCTGCTCCCTTGCCACCCATCCCCCGCCTTTCAGTGCCTCCGGATCACGTGTGCTGATGGGGTCCGTGACGGTAACGTTACAAACCCAAACTACCCCGCTACTCCTGTCTATCATAGTGAAGTCAGCTGTCTGTTCCTCAATGGGGCAGTGCGCCGCTGACTCGCTGTGGACTATAAATCTCGCGTCCTGAGCCATTCTGATGCAAGCATCCTGGAGCTAATTGTGGGTGTTGATTCGGTGCTTGCCTATGTCGCAGTGGAGGAGGTGGTTTGGGAGGCGGGGGTCTGTGATTGCTGTTTGTCCAGCACAGTCACAGTTTTTAGGGGTAGAGAATGGGAGGCCAAGCCGGAAACGTACGGCATTGGCGAAGTGCACGGGCCCTATGCGCCTTGTTGGTGCTATAGGTATTGCCGTCAGCCAGTCTGCCGTGCCGTATCCGGTCAAGGAAAACATCCGCTGCGTGTGGTCTCCCGGACTTGTACCGCATATCTACTGCGGTGGACTTGTAAGACGAGCGCGTGTTGCAGTTTCACGTCTGTACGTTTTAGTCTCTTCCGTTCCAGCAGCTCTCACGCGTCAGATGGCAGGGCTGTTTCGCACTTGGTGAGCCAGGCGTGAAGCGGCGTGCTGTCGTCTTGGGGCAGTAGCATATGGCGGCGTGCCTGTGTCAGGGCGGTTTCTGGAGCTAGCGCGAGGGTCGAGAAGAATAGCGCCGCCTGTGTAAAACTTGCGACGAATCTGTACACCCTTTCTATTAAGGAGTCTGTGATGACGACCCCTCCAAGCGACGGGGGAAGAGACGCCTGAGCCCACACGAGTGATTGCTCAATTCTAGTCATTGGAACGCGTATGCCACATAAGGTGAGGTGAGCCGTTAGGAGGTCCCGACCCCACTAGGTCCATGTATCCCGGGAGAGGAGATTGAGAGGTGGTGTGCAGACGGGTGTTGACTTGAGCGCCAGCATGGCTCGGCGCAGGCTGCCACGTTTCGCCAAACCCTCAGCCCGGCTTATCACTCCTGTTGCATCGGGTTGATGTCGTGGCGGTGGAGGGGCTTGATTGCTTCCTGGTACAGCTGTTCCCATTCACCACGCTGGAACGCCCGCAGCCGAGCCTTGATTTGTGGCCAGTTCGGGCGCTTTGGCGAGGGTTGGCGAAGAGTCGGACGCGGGAGAAAAAGCAGCAGGCACCATCCTAGTTCAGATTCCGGGTTTCGCGATAGGTGGAGTAGTGGGGTTACGAGTGCCAACGAAAACAACTAGCACAAGTTTGGCGGTAATCCACGAGATAGAGGCGGTTGTCACCTGTCGCGCCGTGCAGATATGTCCTAGTTCGTGATGTCATCGAACTTGTCTTCCATCTCAGCGAACTCCTTTGGCGAAAAATAGCGGAGGTGTTGAGGGGTGTGGCGCACCGCGGTCTGGGATGTGGTGGCCTGATTTCGCCGGGTGCGGCTTGGTCTCGTCGTTTGAGGCAGGGTTGGAATTATATCCCTTCGATTGACATCAGACGGTCCTCCCTGCCTTCCTGCCCTTGGCGTGGCGACCTGGTATGTGTTTGGTCCCCTCTTCTCAGCCATCTCCCTTGTCATCTCTCCCTCCTCAGACTCTCCGCTCTCACTGGCACGGAGCTGCTCTTCCCTATATGAAGGGTCGTTTCTCTCATCGACCTCGTTAGCTGCCTCTAAGTTGATAAAAGCCCTTTGGCCTGCTGCCCGGTACCCGTTCTCAGGACCCTTACCTGCTCCGCTAGCTGCTAGGCTCCTAGCTCCGTGAACTCCGCGTCCCCGGGATGGTGATTGCCGGTGCGCCTGAGCCGACGCCAGAGCGCGTTGCCGCATGGTCGGCTGTGGTTGCCAAGCCCCTGTCGGAGCCCGTAAAGGCGACCACGTCGACGAAGCCCCCTGTGCCGCCAGCTCCGAAGCCCGCGACAACAACCGTTGAAATGCCTCCTCCCCTCGTACTCGCGAATCCCTTGCCATAACTGCGCCTGGCCCATCAGCCCCTGTTGCCGCTCTGTCTACTCCGGCTGCTGCTGTTGTTCGCCTGTCTCCTCCTGTTGCACCGCCGGCGTTTGTCCCTGCTAGGATTGTTGCTAATCCTCCCGTCCTTGTCCCTATCGCACCCGTTGCGCTGCCTGCTGCTGTCCCCGACGTGCCGGCTCCGCCCTCTACTTTGTCACCACAGGCGGCGTCCGCCACCACTGGCAGCCCGGCCCCGTTGGTTGCGCCCTCGGCGGCGGGCCAGTCCGTGCTTGCTGTGCTGCCGATGGCCCCGGTGGGTCAGCCGTCACGCCCCCCGTCGCCGGACCGCCGCCTGTCTTGCCCCCACTCTCCCGCTCTCCACCAGGAGCGCGAGTCGCCACGACGCCGGCGCAATTCTCCTCGGCGCTACCATCAGCAGTCTCACTCGCCCGCTCACCATGGCGGTCGTGGTGGTTGGAGGGGTCCCCGCCAACGCGGAGTGGTGGGGTGTATTGTCCGCCTGTGACGATGGCGGATCTTCAGCAGGTAGTGTCCAATGCAGTGCGCAAGGAGAGGGCAGCACAGAGCCAGAGCAGTTCGATGCACGCGTCGCTAGCCTATGTGGCTCCTCGTCAGGTTGCGCTCCCCTTGAATCCGCCGCCAGCCACAGCACTCTCTCCTCAGGTTCCAGCCCCGACGGCTGCTGCTCCCGCTGCCTCGGCACCTGCTCCTGGATTGCGCCTTCGTCTGCCGCCCGTTCCGCCAGTGGCGGGAGTGGAGTTTGTGGCCGCGGGAGGAGGTGCGGCAGGGGCGCAGTAACCTCCTCACGTTGCTGGTGGTTCAGCCTCTCTTGCTGCCGATCAATCGCTTCTGTTCCTGGCGGAGGCGCTTCAGCCCCCACAGACCCGTGTTCGAGAGGCGACGCTCGGCCAGCTCTTCCGCCTTGCGGAGAGCCTTCACGCGTTGCTGCTGATTCAGGTGCTTGCTCACTCGTCACTCCCTGCAATTCCCTCCGAGACGTTCCATGACCGCCTGCATGAGACCTGCTTGGAAGCGGCGGACCAGCTCGCACTGCTCCACTAGCCCGTGTTGGCTGCGCCCGCAAAGAGTGGCACTGCGGCGGTGGGACAGCTTGACGAGGCTGTCCGGGGCTTGAGGCGGCACTTGCGCGCAGGTTTTGGAGCCGCGCGATTGGCGCAAGTACTCTTGTGGTCCGTGAGCTGTGGCGGACGTTGACGGGCGTTCTTCACGCACTTGGAGCGCACCGCATGTAGAAGCGGGCTCCACTTGCCCCATCGATGCTTCACTTGCCTAGGCTGTAGTAGATGGTGCCATGTGTTAGAAGGAATTGCTGCCATGAGCAACAAAATGTCTGCGCTGTGATTCGAACTCGTGACCTTCAAATCTGTCCTGAAAGTGTCTCAGGACAGATTCAGGACAGTTTCTGCTAAGGCGCTGGTTATGGTGCACACGAGTTTCAAACTGGAGACCTTTCGATTCAAGTGTCCCGAAAGTGTCTTGTCATGACAGATTGGGGACAGTTTGGGGACAGATTGGGGACAGTTTGGCGAAATCGATCTCGGGTCACGTTTGGTTTGAAACTCGGCAGCGAAGTGTCGAAGTCGACGGAATTCGCACGGGAGTTACAGTCGGTGGTCGACGGAATTCTTGTCGCGGAAATTCTCGTCTACGGAATTCCAGTCAATGGAATTCGCTCGGCGAAATTCAAGGGTCCGAATTTCGCGTCGACGAAATTCAACGTGCGACTCGGGTCGACACTTTCTTGTGTGCTTTTAGGGCGTGTCCCACGAGTTCATTTGAGGAGAAAATCATAAATTTTACGTAATTTCGACAAAGCAAGAGAGTGTACACTCTGACGTGAAAAACACGCAGCGCGTCAGCACAGCACCAAACGAAATTGACCCACGCGGACTCAAAGCCCCACCCACACAAAAATCGTCATCCGAACATGGGCCGCGAGCGGTAACTCGCCACAGTGCGAATCAACTGTGCCCCTTGCGAATTTTATTGTTTTTTTCGCGCGACTGAATGTGCGCGAAGTCTCCGATTGGAGTAACGAAATGGAGGACCCGGTACGAAGTGATCTCACGTGCCTTGTACGGGGGGTAGTACGAACCTCTTGACGTCTTAGGCGTGTCATCAGGTGCATCATTGAAGACGCATGTCATGCAGGGAAGGGTTACAGACAGAAAAAAGGGTTACAGCCCTGAACTTGAGCTGTAAACGAACTCATGGGACACGCCCTTGTTTTGTATTGCGTCCTAGTATAAAACCAGAGAGCACAAACCAGAAATCAACCAAGTCATTATCGCTCCTATATTTGTGTGTATCTCTGGCTATAGTGGACCGTTTCCTGCAATCTTTGGTGTGTTGGAATCGTGCTTCTGAGCTCTATCAAGCTGCTATAATAGTGGAATTCTACATGGTATCAGAGCTGCGTTATCTGCGTCGATCCAAATAGCAGCTTGATTTTGTCCTCCCATCACTTCGTTCCCACGTTGGTGTGGCCGACGCTCGTTTTGACTGCGCATGGAGTGGTTAACGAGCGTTGAGGGTCTGAATGTCCGTCAGGAGCTGGAGAAGTCCGTTCGTGAGCACCACCCTTACTTGCGTGATGAGGAGGTCGACCTCATTGCACCCAAGTGCTGTGGGCGTTGGCGGAGGAGCTCTTGCACCGACCATTGACACGGGAATGATCGGGGCGAGCTACGGCCAATTCAAGTTTGGAGTTGAGCACATCTCGGTGACGCCGCTGCTGGAGGGAAGGCACGACCTTACCGCGTGGGTCAGCGCCATCCGACCTCAGCTCCAGTATGCTGATTTGTGGCAGTTTTGCAACGGGACAGCACCAAGCCCGGCCCCAAACAACCCCTTGCAACGAAGGGAGTACGCAAAGGGCCAAATGCTTGCATTCATGGTGCTGAACCGATGTGTTTCTCCACCCATCCGAATGTCCATCTCTGGTTTCTCTCAGCAAGAGAAAGCCGGACAGCTAGCATGGGCATATATCCTATCTACTTATCAAGTTCGTGATGCCCTCCACGCTTCCCTACTTCAGACCCAGTTAGCCCAACTCAGGAAGGGAGATGATGAGACAGCGGAATCCTACTGCAATAGGGCCCGCACCATCCGAGCGGAGCTGCTGACCATTGGACAGGAGGTCCACATGGCCACGTTTGCCGCCCACGTGCTGAAGGGCCTACCACCGGAGTACGGATTTCTTCGCCGCAAGCTCGAAATTTCCAGCCCTGACATGACGGTGGAACGCGTGTGCAGCGAGATGTTGATGGAGGAGAAGACTCTCTCCATCGAACAGGTTACAAGCAGATCACCAGCGATGCATCTGCTTTCTCGGGCGCTGTCAACTCCATCGTTGCTACAACGGGGGTCAACGGGAAGGAAGGAAAAGGGGGAAGGGAGCAGACGGACAAGAAGGATGGCAAGTGGGAGAAGAAGCGAGCCCCCTTCAAGGGGCGCTGCTACAACTGCAATGAGGAGGGGCACATGGCTGCCAAGTGCCCCAACAAGAAGAAAGATGCAACGCCCGCGGCAACCGCGAACGTAGCTGAAGGAGACGGGAAGGGCGTGGCGCTCACCGTCGCGTGTTCGGCTGCAAAGTTGCTGGCCGACGACAAGGACTTGTGGTTCCTTGACTCAGGATGCTCTCAACACATGACCGGCCGCAAGGAGTGGTTCACGGTGATCCGTGACCCATCTACAACGAAATCAGTCAAAGGGTTTGATGGTTCTATGCAGGAAGTTGCCGGTGTTGGTGAGGTTTTGCTGGAGGGCACTAACGGCTTGCGTGTGACCCTACATGATGTCCTCTTTGTGCCAGGAATGAAGGCCAACTTGGTCTCCCCTGGGCAGCTCTTGGACAAGGGAGAAAAGATGCAAACCGAGGAAGGTGTCACTCGCATCATCGCATCAGGAGGTCAAGTGGCTGCAACGGCACGATACCGCCATCGCCTTCACTACCTTGACCTGAAACCGGGGCCAGCAAGGAACGGTGCAACGGCTGCAGCGGCATGCAACGGCATGGCGGCTGCAGCGGCATGCACCGATATGGCGGGGAGCGACGAGCAACGGCACAGGGGCTGCATCGGCATGCAACGGCACGGCGGCTGCAGCGGCAAGCAACGGCACGGTGAAGGAGATTGCTGATGTGGCGTCAAGCAAGCCGGAAGCTAAAGATGGAGCGGCCAGCCTCAAGACGTACGCGGTGGGCTCCAAGGCAACGCCCAACCTGTGGCACGCTCGCCTTGGACACGTCCACTTCGATGCCGTGAAGCGGACAGCCACGAGCGGTGGCGTGTTCGGTATGGATCTGGAGAAAGGAGGTGAGGATATGCCGTGCACCTCCTGCCATGAAGCCAAACTCACTCGTGAATCATTTTCGCTGCACGACGAGCGAGAGGAGCAGGTACTTGGGCTGGTCCATACCGACGTGTGCGGTCCATTTCAGACCCTAGCCATGGATGGAAGCAGGTACTACATTCTTTTTGTCGACCACGCCTCACGTTACAACTGGGGGAAGACGTTGAAGCTGAAAAGCGATGCGCTTGCTGCCTTCAAGGAATGGCTTCCCGAAGCTGAACGCCAAACCGGGATGACGCTGAAGGTGTTGCGGTCGGACCGGGGAGGGGAGTTTATGTCGAATGAGTTTCTGTTGCTGCTGAAGCAACGAGGAATTTTACGTCAACTCTCCTGCCCCTCGACCCCCCAGCAGAACGGTGTGGCTGAACGCCGCAACCGTACGGTAACCGAGGGCATGCGTGTGATGTTGGGGCACATGGGGGTGAAAGCACACTGGTGGCACTTCGCTTTCCAGCAGTTCTTGTGGGTGGTAAACCGTGTGCACCAATCCACCCTGCCCCATGGTGTGACCCCTCATTTGGTGGTGTTCAAAGTCAAGCCCGATGTGTCCATGGTCCGTGTGTTCGGGTGCATGGTACAGTACCTCATTCCTGAGCATGAGCGTGAGGGGAAGCTTGCAAGCAAGACTCGTTGGGGCATTCATTTGGGCATGAGCATGGAAAGTAAGGGATGGCGTGTGGTGGATGTTGAGTCAAAGCGCATGGTCATCACCCAGGATGCACGTTTTTATGAGGACATGTCACTTGAACGGTGGCAGAAGTGGCGTGCACGCGTGGGTAACGGGAATGACCAGCCCACACCACCCTTTGCTTCAGTCCCATCTCTCTTCCCTGAGCCCCATAAACCCGAGCAGAATCCGCCGCCACCACGTACCGTCATCGTGGTCCCGGTACCGTCTGTACAAGGGGGCGAGAAACCCCTTGAATGCTCGGTGGGCCCTTTGGGCAGCAAGGCACCTACTGCACCTCCTCCTCTTGGTCCACCCTCCGTTGCTGATTCGGCGCCCGTAGGACCAGAGGATGGTCCTCAGGAGGTTGACACCAGCATGGCTGATCACGAGGAGGAAGAAGAAGAAGCAGCAGTGGATGAGCAGCCACAATTGGCCCATGAGCATGAGCCTTCACCTGCAGTTCCCCCCTTCCAGCCCATTCCACCACCCCCACGTCGCTCCAGCAGGCCTAACAAGGGGGTGCCACCCGTACGGTTTCAGCCATCAGCCATGACGGCCCTGGATGCGGATGATGAGGACAACCCGTACGACGTGGCATACCTTGCTGAAGACGAGTGCGATACGGACAGCGATGACGAAGTGGAGTACCCGGACGAGGATGAGGAGGAAGGCGCTTGGGGAGGTGTCATCCTCGACCTGGCAGCTGCGTTGACCGGACCTGAAGGCAAGGAATGGTGGGCTGCTATGAAGGAGGAGATGGAGAGCCTTGATGAGCAAGGCGCTTGGACGTTGGCTGACCTACCTGAAGGTCGCAAAACCGTCGGTGTCAAGTGGCTGCTGAAGAAGAAGTTGCGGCCTGATGGCACCGTGGAGAAGTACAAGGCCAGGCTAGTGGCTAAGGGCTTTAGCCAGCGCTTTGGCATCGACTACGACGACACTTACGCTCCTGTTGGTAGCTACACCACCGTTCGCGTGCTCCTCTCAATCGCAGCAGCTATGGACCTGGATTTGGTGCAGCTTGATGTGAAGAATGCATTTCTTCACGGCACCATCGACCACGAGATCTACATGCAGCAGCCGCCTTACTTCACCGACGGTAGCAGCAAGGTGTGCCTCCTGCAGAAAAGCCTTTACGGGCTAAAGCAGAGTCCCCTTCTGTGGTACAAGGAGCTGGACAAGGTGCTCCTTGTGGAGGGGTACAAGAAGAGCCTTGTGGACCAGGCCCTATACTACAAGGATGGGGCAAGCGGGAAGCGCGTGTGGCTGCTAATCTACGTGGATGACCTGCTAGCGGCAAGTGAAGACCAGCAGCTTCTGCAGGACCTAAAGGGGCTGCTGGCCAAGGCGTTTCAGCTCCGTGAGGTGGAGCCAGTGGAGCACTACCTGGGACTGCAGATTGAGCGAGATCGCCCCAACAGGACACTCAACCTGCACCAGAATGCGTACGTGGCGAAGGTGCAGCAGCGGTTCTTCAAGGGGGCGCCACCAAAGAAGCAGCCGATCACTCCTCTCTCCTCTGCCAGCTTTGCCAAGCAGGGTGCCGGGCAGTTAGCCAACCGTACCATGACCGAGTACTTGTCAATTCTCGGCATGGTGCAGTTTGCAGCCATCTCAACCCGTCCTGACCTCTCTTTTGCATGCAGTCGCCTTGCAGCAGGTGCACACCTCAGGACCGATGCGCATTGGCATGAGCTCTTCCGCACACTCTCCTACTGGGCTGCCTCACCGGACAAGGGGCTGCTGTTCAAGGGAGGACCAGAGAGTTTGACTCTCGTAGGGTATGCGGATGCGGATGATGCAGGCGACAAGGAGAACCGGTCATCCACGGGAGGCTACCTCTTCAAGCTTGGCGGAGCTGCCGTTTCATGGCAGGCCAAGAAGCTACAGGGTGCAACTAAACTTTCCTCCACCGAGAGCGAGCTTGTGGCTGCAGTGGAAGCGAGAAAGGAGGGGCGCAAGCTAAGGTTCCTGCTGTGGGAGTTTCAACTGCTCAAGAAGGGTGTCCCCACCACCCTGTACGTCGACAACATGTCAGCGGTGCAGCTCAGCCAGGCGGGCGGGCTGCAGGGGTGCATGAAGCATGTCGACCGTCGCCACATGTGGCTACAGGACATGGTGCGCATGAAGAAGTTGGAGGTGCAGCACATCCCTACGACGGCGCAGCCGGACTTCTTCACGAAGCGGCTTGAGAAGGCAGCCTTCAACCGATGCTGTGCAGCAGCCGGGCTGGTCCAGCGTGCTCCTGACAGCAAGGGGGCGTGTTAGAAGGAAATGCTGCCATGAGCAACAAAATGTCTGCGCTGGGATTCGAACTCGTGACCTTCAAATCTGTCCTGAAAGTGTCTCAGGACAGATTCAGGACAGTTTCTGCTAAGGCGCTGGTTATGGTGCACACGAGTTTCGAACTGGAAACCTTTCGATTCAAGTGTCCCGAAAGTGTTTTGTCAGGACAGTTTGGGGACAGATTGGGGACAGTTTGGCGAAATCGATCTCGGGTCGCGTTTGGTTTGAAACTCGGCAGCGAAGTGTCGAAGTCAACGTAATTCGCACAGGAGTTACAGTCGGTGGTCGACGGAATTCTTGTCGCGGAAATTCTCGTCTACGGAATTCCAGTCAATGGAATTCGCTCAGCGAAATTCAAGGCTCCGAATTTCGCGTCGACGAAATTCAACGTGCGACTCGGGTCGATACTTTCTTGTGTGCTTTTATTTTGTATAGCGTCCTAGTATAAAACCAGAGAGCACAAACCAGAAATCAACCAAGTCATTATCACTCCTATGTTTGTGTGTATCTCTGGCTATAGTGGACCGTTTCCTGCAATCTTTGGTGCGTTGGAATCGTGCTTCTGAGCTCTATCAAGCTGCTACCATAGTGGAATTCTACACCATGCATGTATTACCGTTGATTATACAGACTTGTCTGTGCTTTCCCTTGCCGTCCCTCACGCGCGGCCGAACAATGAAGAAGGAACCAGGCCGTAAGGCCTTATATACCAGGGGTAGGGGCGGCTGAGAGAATGAGAGGCTAAGGGGCTAAGGGACTATGTCTCTCTCAAGAAGTGCTTCATTGATGGGCTTATAAGGATACAGGCATGGTAAGGGCAGGTGCTAGATGGTCCTAGACATGCAAGGGAGTCTACTACCAACTTCCGGACTGATATTCCTGCAGAGACAGCATTGTATCAGGCAGACAAGGCAACCACCAAGCAGCAGAGGGTCAACCAGCAAGCAGGCCGCCATGTAGGCAGGCAAGGGAGCAAGCAAGCCTGTGAGCAAGCAAACAAACTAACAAGCCGGCAAACACACAAGTATTCAAGCAATCCCACGGGTAAACAAGCACCCGAGTGATTCTGCCCTTTGCCCTACCCAAAGAACATTCTGGTGGCTAGTCCAGCCCCCTACCCTTGACCCGCCCCTGGCTCTAAGCCTGACCCACCTGCCATGTCCCCCCTCTGTCACCACCTCTTCCAGCCTGTATCTCTCCCTCTCCCTCTCCTTCTCCCCCAGCCCTCTAAGTCCCCCAGTCCTCCGCCCCATCCAGCTTATCCTCGAGGGTCTGAGCCAGGTCCCCTAGGCGTGGGGCCAGCCATGGACTGTCTGGTTAGACATGGCCAGCAGGGTTGTTGCTTGGCAACGCTGCTGCATGACCAACCAGCGCTGGCGGTAGTGGCAGTAGAGTTTGGCTGCAGTTTTGGTTGGTTTCGCAACCCTGAATTTTGCCTTTGCCGCATGTGTCGCCTGCATGTGTATGAACTCTGCCATCTGGGGGGCCAGTGCCCCATACGTCTCAGCGGCGAGGCCGTAGAAGCCCACCCAGTCTGACCGCTCCTCGTACAGGAGTTCCTTGGTCCTTGCCGCTTCCCTAGCTGCCCATCCTGGCTTCTTCCGCACTGTGAGGTCTCGGCGGAGCAGTACTCGGTCGGTGAGGGTGACGTCGCCTGTCCAGGTGCCCCCAGATTCCTGATCCCGCAGGGAGAGGTCTGCCTTGATCACGTTGGAGGGGACTAAGAATGCTGTCGTCTCCCCCGACGTGGTGTAGCCTGCCTCTCGGGCCATGCGGATGCAGCAGTAGACCAGCGCGTTGTGGGTCCATGTCCTATCCCCCCCGGTCCCACAGCGTAGCAGGTGGTTAGGCAGGCTCGGGTCTGTTATGTCTGACCGGTCCCTGCCGCATGGACACTTTGCCGCTACCACCTGGGGCAGCCCTAGGCGGAAGGCCAGTGCCGTGCCAAACTGTCCTGCTGATAGGGTGAGGTCTGGCCTGGTCGGTGTGGCATTCAGCCAGTCCCCTGCTCCGGTTCCCCTCAGGCTTACTAGTCTGACACCGTGGCCGTTGTCAGTCCCTGGGCGGTCTATGAGAGTGTCATCCAGGAGGTTGAGCGCCCTGGCCTTGTTGATGGCGTGTGAGAGGGCCAGCTGCAAGTGGCCGGGGCGAGGGTTGGCGCGCCGGACTCTGAACAGTTGCTTGCCGTCCTCCGGCAGCCTCCCCTCCATATCCTGTAAGGTTTCTCCGAGTGCCGAGGTTACGTCAGCTTCTGGCGATAGGGCTGCCCTTACTGCCGCCAGCAGGTGGGTTGGCTCGAGGGGTAACAAAGCCAGTAGTTCAATCGCTGCTGCCGTTGATGCTGCTGCGTCTGGTTCTGCCAGCCATGCACGGGACCCGGCTGGCTCCGTCCCAGCGTTGCTCCGAGCCGCAGCGGCGCTAGCTGAGGGTGGGCGTTCTGCCGTGAGGTCGCCGTGCCAGCGCGGCAGGCGGGCAGCGAGGCGGGATCCTGTGTACCGTTCGCCCCGTGCTGCTGCTCGGCCATATCGTTCTCCCCGTCCTCGTCGCCCACGTTCCCGTTCCCGTTCGCAGATGCCGCAGTCGCTTCCGCCGCTTGATGGTGGCGGCCCTCCTAGCCATGTCTTTGCGGGCTTTGGCCTGCCTCGAGCGCCGCTGGGCACTCCAGAGCCGGAGCCAGAGTGGTGGGAGGCGTGGCGGGAGTTCCAGGCATGGTGGTGGCCGGGGGAGCCCGCGTGGGAGATGGAGGCGCGTTCATTTGTGGATCCTGGCGGGCGGGTGGCGGCCCGGATGCGGGCGTTCGCCGACTCCGTTGGGCACGTGGCGACCATCCTGGAGGAGCTGCATCGGGCGATGGAAGCGCGGGAGGCGCCGCAGCGGGATCCCATGCTGTCTCGTCGTCAGCAGCTTCGGGTGCTCCGTGCGTCATCCGCAGTGCTGTGGGATCCGCTGCATCTCCCAATGGTCCCTCTGCTCGACGGGGCGGACGACGTCCCCTGGCGGCGACACTTTGCTCGTTAGCACGAGAAGCGGAGCAGGAGAGAGCCCTTGGGCTGCCCGCCGCGACCACGTCAGTGCTCCGCTAGATGGGGGCCCGTTTGCCGCTGATGCTGTCTGATTGACTGGCGGCGCCACAGTGGTCATCGGCGTGCTCGCCATTGTGCCGACTGTGGGGTTGACACACGGCGGCTGTTGATGTTGCGGTCGGACCTACTGCATGTTGTATCTTGTTTCTTTGATATGCTTGTTTCTGTTTCTCCCCTGTCACCCGGCGCCGGTTTTTGAGAAAGAATGAACTCAAACCAGAACAATGAGGAGAATGGAGCACTACATAGGCTTAAATACTAGGAGGAATGGGCTAGGATAGGCCAGAGAGGCTAAGGGAGGCTAAGAGAGGCTAAGAGAGGCTAGGAGAGGCTAAGAGAGGCTAAGGGCTAGCTCCTAGTGCCTCTCTCTCTTTCTAATGGTCCGTATATTAATATGGCGGAAAGGTACATACATACTATTCGGTTGTTTCCTCTAAACATGCAAAACCTAGCCTATCCTCTCTAGAGCTCCACCAGGGGTTCTATGACAGCATAGCAATCACCAAGATGTAGTTCATGGCCTATACCCCCTACTGGCGGGTTTTCAGCTGCCGCCGCCTCAACCAACTTCACGAGTAGGCCCATAGACTGTGCCCTCTGCAGAGCAACTGACCACCTCTGCCTGAACTGATGTAGAAACTTAGCGGCATGATAGGAGTCGGCGTTGAAGTAGCGACGAGCCGCTGTGTCTGCCAGGAGTTTCAGGAAGACGGGGACCTCGGCACTTGGGCAGCCATAGGTCTCCACTGCCAACGGAAAGAAGCCAACGGTCTCAGGTCTATTCGCGTAGTGTTTAATCTTTTTGTCGGCCTGCTCTCTTGCTGCCTATCCCCTGCCTTTCAGTGCCTCTAGATCCCGTGTGCTGATGGGGTCTGTCACACTCACAGCACACACCCAAACTGCTCCACTGCCTCTAGATCCCGTGTGCTGATGGGGTCTGTCACACTCACAGCACACACCCAAACTGCTCCACTGCTCCTGTTTATCATGGTGAAGTCAGCCGTCTGCTCCTCGATGAGACAATATGCGGCCGACTCACTGTGGACTATGAACCCCGCATCCTGAGCCATGCTATAATGCATGCATCCCTGAGCTCATTGTGGGTGTTGATGCGATGCTTGCCAGTGCCGCAGCGAAGGAGGTGGTTTGGGAGGCGGGGATCTGTGATTGCTGTGTGGTCTGCACAGTCACAGTTTTTGGGGGTAGAAAAAGGCAAGCCGAGGTGAAATCTGACGGCGTTGGCGAAATTCACTGGCCCTATGCGCCGTGTCGCTGCTATGGGTATTGCCGTCAACCAATCCCCCGTGCCATATCCTGTTAAAGAGAACATCCGCTGCATGTGGCCCGCTAGCAGATTCAGCTCCATGCCCCTTGTCTCCTGAACCTGCACCGCGTAACGACTACCGTGGACTTGTAAGGTGAGCGCGTGCTGCAATTTGACGTCCGTATGGTCAAGTATCTCTCGTTCCAGCAGCTCCCGCGCGTCGGTTGGCAGGGCTGTTTTGCACTCAGCGAGCCAGGTGTGAAGCGGCGTGCTCTCATCTCTAGGCAGTGTGGCTGCGTGCGTGAGTCAGTGCAGATTCCGGGGCTAGCGCGAGCGTGGAGAAGAACAGTGCCGCCTATGTGAAGCTTGCGACGAAACCGTACACTTCCTCTATTAGAGGGTCTGTGATGCCGACTCCCCCAAGCGACGGAGCGAGAGACGCCTGGGCCCATACTTATGACTATTCTATTCTACCCGCTGAAACACGTATGTTGCACGAAGCGAGCAGAGCCGTTAGGAGGTCCCGGCCCCACTGGGTCCATGTATCCCAGGCGAGGAATTTGAGGGGAGTCGTCCTTGTAAGGTACGCCACGCGCCGGGAGATGCAGCATGTGATCAGTAGTGATGCGACTTGTGGGTCGGCTCGCTCGATGAGAGGCAGTGGTTTCGCCATCTTCCCAAATTGCCCAGCCAAGAACGCGGCTGCACCGTCAGCCGGCCCGATGAAACTTCGAAGCAGCCGAACGCCGTCCTTGCAGAACGGGACCCTTGGAGGCAGGTGTGTTGCGTCGCATGTCACAGTGCTCCATGCCGTACACTTTTGCGGGTTGTGTCTCAGGCCCAATAATTTCAGATTGGTGGTGAAGTGTGTGAAGGCAGCTACTGTTGCACGTGGGTCACCCACAAATGTCACATCGTCCGCATATGCCAAACAAAGCACATTGGGATGTGCTGTTGCAGTGTCGCGAAGTGTGGGATGAATCCGAGCCGCGAATAGGAGTGGGCCCATCGGGTCGCCTTGGCGAACGCCGCGTTCACTACTCAGAGGTTCGCTGGCGAAGTTTGCGTCTAGGTGCAGGTGAGACGGGTAACCAGTGGTAGCAGTGGCGACAAGATGGGGTCCTGTAACGCAGCTGCGATGGCATGTCGCGAAATGCTGTTGAAAGCAATCGCGATGTCAGTTTGCAGTACCAGGCTGTTTAGGTTGGCATCCACGAATGCCTGGGCAGCGTGGATTACTGCCTCTGCGCCCTCTGGCGGCGTGGATTATTGCCTCTGCCCGGGCGGCGTGGATTACCCTATCTCTCTCTCTCTCTCTCTCTCTCTCTCTCTCTCTCTCTCTCTCTCTCTCTCTCTCAAGCAGTCATGTATTGATAGTGTTCAAGAGGTACAGGCAAGGCAGGGAGTGGAAGTAGCTAGTCTGTCTAGGCATGTAGGCGACTAGGTGATGGAAACTAGCAACTAGCAAAAAAACAAGCAAGCCAGCAAAACAAGACCTGCAAGGTATGCCGTGTGTGTGTGCACACTAGTCCCCTAAACAGCCAGCAGTAGCAACTCCAGTCCCAAGAGACCTCCCTCTCTTCCTGTCTTGTAGTTCACCCCTTGCCTTAGTCTCTGCCCTCCCCATCCTCCTCCTCCCTGCATCTTTCGCTCACCTTCCTTCCACTAGCCTCTTTTCACTCTAGCCCCTCTAAGGCGCTCTGGCAGGGGCCTCTCGCTCCTCATACGCATCCTCTGTCAATTACCAGAGGTCCCCCAGCCGTGGAGCCCAGGGGTCCCCCGCCGCCTCTGGGAATGCTGCTTCTGCTGCGCGATTGGACTTGGACAGTAGGGAGATGGCCTGACTTCGCTGCAGCATCACCGACCATCTTTGGCGGTAGTGTGCATTGAGCCGGGCAGCAGTGGTTGTAAACCGCCCCTTCCTGAACTTGGTCCTTGCCGAGTGGGTGGCTAGCAAGCATAGGAATTGGATTATGTCAGCAGCCATAGCCCCATACGTCTTGACAGCAAGCCCAAAGAACCTCGCGTAGATCGGTCGCCCCTCGTACAGCCGATGCTTTTTCTGTGAGGCTTCCTCTACAGCCCAACCTGGCGGCCTACGTGCTCTCTGTAGAATTCCACTACTATAGCATCTTGATAGAGCTCAGAAGCACGATTCCAACGCACCAAATATTGCAGGAAACGGTCCACTATAGCCAGAGATACACACAAACATAGCAGTGATAATGACTTACTTGATTTCTGGTTTGTGCTCTCTGGTTTTATACTAGGACGCAATACAAAATTTAGCAGACGAGAAAGTCTCGACCCGGGTCGCACGTTGAATTTCGTCGATGCGAAATTCGGAGCCTTGAATTTCGCCGAGCGAATTCCATTGACTGGAATTCCGTAGACGAGAATTTCCGCGACAAGAATTCCGTCGACCACCGACTGTAACTCCCGTGCGAATGCCGTTGACTTCGACACTTTGCTGCCGAGTTTCAAACCAAACGCGACCCAAGATCGATTTCCCCAATCTGTCCCCAAACTGTTCCCAAACTGTCCTGACAAGACAATTTCAGGACACTTGAATCAAAAGGTCTCCAGTTCGAAACTCGCGTGCACCATAACCAGCGCCTTAGTAGTAACTGTCCTGAGACACTTTCAGGACAGATTTGAAGGTCACGAGTTCGAGACCCAGCGCAGACATTTTGTTGCTCATTGCAGCATTTCCTTCTAACACGCCCCCTTGCTGTCAGGAGCACGCTGGACCAGCCCGGCTGCTGCACATCATCGATTGAAGGCTGCCTTGTCGAGCCGCTTCGTGAAGAAGTCCGAGGGCTGCGCCATCGTATGGATGTGCTGCACCTCCAACTTCTTCATGCGCACCATGTCCTGTAGCCACATGTGGCGACGATCCACATGCTTCATGCGCCCCTGCAGCCCGCCTGCCTGGCTGAGCTGCACCGCTGCCATATTGTCGACGTACAGGGTGGTGGGGACACCCTTCTTGTGTCAGAATGTCATTGTTCTCTAGCCTGCAGTGGGGTACTCTATAGCGAGTACAACCCCTTAGGGTTTCCTATATGTATCCTGCTGCTTTCTAGTGAACCCCCTTCTTCTTCATTCTAAACTTCTCTACCTTCTAATCTTATCATCTTGAGCAGTTGAAACTCCCACAGCATGAACCTTAACTTGCACCCCTCCTTTCCCGCTTCCACTGCAACCACAAGCTCGCTCTCGGTGGAGGAAAGTTTGGTCGCACCCTGCAGCTTCTTGGCCTGCAATGAAACGGCAGCTCCGCCAAGCTTGAAGAGGTAGCCTCTCGTGGACGACCGGTTCTCCTTGTCGCCTGCATCATCCGCATCCGCATACCCTACGAGAGTCAAACTCCCTGGTCCTCCCTTGAACAACAGCCCCTTGTCCGGTGAGGCAGCCCAGTAGGAGAGTGTGCGGAAGAGCTCATGCCAATGCGCATCGGTCCTGAGGTGTGCACCTGCTGCAAGGCGACTGCATGCAAAAGAGAGGTCAGGACGGGTTGAGATGGCTGCAAACTGCACCATGCCGAGAATTGACAATTACTCGGTCATGGTACGGTTGGCAAACTTCCCGGCATCCTGCTTGGCAAAGCTGGCAGAGGAGAGAGGAGTGATCGGCTGCTTCTTTGGTGGCGCCCCCTTGAAGAACCGCTGCTGCACCTTCGCCACATACGCATTCTGGTGCAGGAAGAGTGTCCTGTTGGGGCGATCTCGCACAATCTGCAGCCCCAGGTAGCGCTCCACTGGCTCCACCTCACGGAGTTGAAACGCCTTGGCCAGCAGCCCCTTCAAGTCCTGCAGCAGCTGCTGGTCTTCACTTGCCGCTAGC